GGCAATGGAGTTCTAGAGTAGCATGCGGACTAAATTGATTCAGATGGGAAAAGGTTACGGACCAAATATATATTATTATTTTGAGTATGTCATAGGATTAATATATTATTATATTTTAAGACAGCCTTTGTTTATAATTTGTGGTTTTAATTCTGGGTATGTAATTTAGGTAATATTTTTATGAAAAAAATGTTTATCAACTGGCAAAAAAATTATGTAAAAAAATCTTCAAATTACATTATTTTAATTAATTTTTATTGAAAAAGATTAAAATATAATAATTTTTAAAACATTAATGAGGCTAGTTTAGTATTTTTCTTATAATACTTTATTAAAATTACATTGTTTTGAATTTTTTGCTTAATTTTTTTTGTAAATTCAATTGATACATATTAATATTATATTTTTACATATTTATTTTAAAAGTTAGTTATCTTTTTATATGGTACAATCCAAACTACAAAATATTTTTTTTGTTATTCTCATGTAGTTTTAGAATGTAGATGTTAATTATTTTTTTAATCATATAAAATTATTCAATAAAAATATGTATAAAAAATTTTTAGGTACAATCATTCATATGCTATAATATTAAATAGTTATTTAGTATAGCAATTTAAATCTAATTGTTAGTGATTTCAATTAATTTAATGGATGATAATTATTATTCTTAATATTTTAAACACTTTTACTTATTATAATAAATGAAATCGCATGTTTCCATCCATTAAGCCAAACACCCCTAAAATGTTGCTTGCAAAAAAATAAGGATTTTGCTAAGTTACTATGAACCAATGATTTTGGACCCGGTTCGACCCGACCGGTTCAACTGGTTCAATCAGACCCGAACTTGAAAACGGACCGATTGAAGACTTCAGTCCGTTTAGGTAAATGGCCCGTTGAAACCCGTCAAGCCCGTCAAGCCCGTCACGCCCACTAAACTCGTGTGACCCGCTTCAACCGATCGGGCTGAAATTTTCATCATCTTTTTAAGTTTTGTCTTTTTGACTTAAATTAAAATTTAAAACTTAAATTATCATCTCCTTTATTGACTGCCGATCACCTCCTCCTTCCTCACTGGACTGAACAGCAAAGCAAAACAAAAGTTACATTATTACAGAACATATCATCTCATCCATCGCTGCCCTCCTTCTCTTCCTCATCTCCTCTGTCGCTGTCTTTCTTCTCTTGCCTCACAGAACAGAAGCAGCAACAGAAATCAAAATCTTCCTCGTCCTTCACTCAATAGAAGCAGCAAAGCAGACCTTCTTCTTCTTCGCTACCCTCCTTTTACTCCTCATCTCCTTTACTGTTGCCTTCTTCTCCTGCTCCACCGACCAGAAGCAGCAGCAGAAATCAAAATTTTGACAAATAACATACAAAAGTAAAATTCAATAAAAATGTCAAAAAAAAATTTTTTAGTTGATTAGTTGAATCAATCGAATGAATCGATTCAATCGGTTGATTCAAACCCAATGGTCAAAATGGACCAGCCACCGGGCCGAGCCCAAAAACATTACTATGAACACAAATTAGGAATATAACAAATAATTTTTTTGTAATAAATTTATATTAAAAAATTAACATTTAATTTATTAATTATTTAATTATATTCATTTAAGTGATAATGATATTAAAATTAGTGTCCATTTTTATTTAAAGTTTTCTATACAAAATTTATGAAAAAAAAAGTAAGTTTAAGCATATATTAGAAAAACTTTAAAAAATAAAATAAAATTCGACAAAAAATGAAGCTAAAAAGATGAAACACTGTCGTATTGAAGAGTCATTCAATTTAATACCGAAATTACGTTTTTGTGTTGGTAAATGAATGAATATTATTGCAAAATAACGTGGACTAGATTAAGGGGGTCTAGGCAAGAGAAACCATAGGGGGAAATTACTGTTGGTAAAAAATCTTTTGAGAACCCAGGCCCTGGGAGAACCCAGGCGCCAACCTGGGTTCTTTCGAAAACCTAGGTGGTTGGGTTTCTTCGAGAACCCAGTGCCTGGGTTCTTTCGAGAACCCGGGTGGCTGGGTTTCTTCGAGAACCCAGGCACTGGGCCGAGAACCTAAGAGCTGGGTTCATTCGAATTTAGGGGCAAAAAAGTTTCGGTTTTTTTTTTTTGTGGCTTTGGTTGTTTGATTAAGATGAAGAATTGATCGATGAAGAAGGCAAGGCAAGGAAGAGGAAGGAAAAAGAAAGGGCACCTATTGAATTGATTGTTCGAGAAAAAAGATGTTGGAGGAAGAAGATGATGTAAAATTGTAATTTGGTGGACCCCACTGTTGTTTTTGTGTTGGGTATGACCATGTCATCATTTATCCAGTTGTACAATTGACGTGTCTTAAATTTTTTATATGTCGGTGAGTTAACGGACGAGTTTTAACGGAAGGACCAAGTTGGGGTAAAATGGGTAAATAGTAGGGACCAAATTAGAGATTTTTTTAGTTCAAGAACTAAATCAGGGGTCCATGCAATAGTTTCGGGACCAAAAAGGGGTTTTAACCAAAAAAATACTTCACCCCGTAAAGTCCCTGTCTGAATACCAGCTCTCTCTCAGTCTCCTAGTAGGTCCCTCTGCATTTCCTCTGTCTTTCAAAAGTCCTTCATTTATTTCCTTTTCCAGGATTCCCAAAATCTTCTGGTTTCCATTGATTCCAAAAGGGATACAATTTTTTTCTTGTTTTATCTTGATTGGGGAGTTCTGGTTAAGTGGTTATGGGTTCTGTTTATTAATCTGTTTTTTTTATAGAGATCTGATGTCAATGTGGGTTCCTTAAGATTCAGTTCCCGTGTTTTCTTCCATTTTCAGAAGATCCTGATTCTAAAAATATGAGAGAAAATTGAGTAGTGTAGAAGGAAAAGGTTCCTCATTTCTAAGTGGGTCTACAAAAAAGATGATAGCTTTGAACTTTCTAGAGAGAGAAGCAGTTGTGTAATAACTGCATCCTGCTGAGGTTTGGTTTCTTTTTTTGAATACTGACTTGAGTAGTTAAGTTCATGTTTGATTGTAGTTTCCTTTCTCAAGCAAAAGTGAAAGATAGAGGAACGGGTAGTTTATTTATTTTGTGTAGAGCCTGAACTGGATCATTCTATTGCCTTTCCTTGTTTTGGCGTTGTTCTCTGGTCAACAAATTTCTGGGTCAGCTAATCCCTGATTTGTGCAGGGCTATTAGATTTTTTTGCAAAAGAACAACCATTTAGCCACACCCTTTCTACATTTGTCATCTTCCTGTTTTTGTTTTTTAGTCTGAGTTAAATTGGGAGAATCTATTTTCTTATTTTTGCCTTTTCTGTACCGTCTTTGATGTTGGAGACCAGAATTTGTTGATTTTCTGGACATTACCATGTAGGATTAATATGGTTTGGGAGAGTGTTTTAATAGTTGAGTTTATAATTTCTGAATTTCTGTATGAAATTTGTGGGATTAGTTGGAGAGGGAGAGAGAGAGAGAGAGAGAGAGAGAGAGAGAGTGAGTGAGTGAGGAAGGTCTCTTTTGGGGCTTAGTTTGGGAAGATAGGTTTGGAGGTTTCTGACTGAAGTTGCTTAGAATGGCAGAAAACTCCGGTAGTGATAAAGAACTGAGGTCACTGACACTAACACCAACATGGTCTGTTGCTACCGTGCTGACAATATTTGTGGTGGTTTCGTTGGTTGTGGAAGGCTCAATTCATCGCCTGAGCAATGTAGGTACTTGTATCTAGGTTGTAATTTTTGGTCATCCTTCTATCAGCTAATTATGTATTTTGTGTAATTTGCTTCTTTGGCTTTTGCACATTTCTAGAATGTTTCATGTTAATTTGGTTAACAAGTAAAAATTTATCTGATATTCATATTTTACTTATAATTGCCACTGAGAGAATTTTTATCAGTGACAGTGAATATGTAGATGATAATGTATAAGCGATTGGTTATCTCTTATCACTGGAATTTGTTAAATATGAGAAGTAATAATTTCATGGTTGCTTGGGTTTTATTGGACATAATATGAAATTATCTGGTGCTTGTGGTTTTCTGCAACTGTTGGTTATTTAGTATCACTCTATTAATATATTTTCTGATAACTTGTCTATTCTTTTATCAAACCATGACATAGATTTATTCAGGTAAAGAGGTTTGTATAAGGTGTAATGCTTGGAAGCTTTCTACTGAGTTTCATTTTTCGTTCTTCCAGTGGTTGCGTAAACCAACAGAAAACCTTTGCTTGCAGGTGTAGAGAAAATGAAAGAAGGTAATGGTTTATAAATTCTGTCCAGCACTGCAGCTTATTGGAAATTGTTGCATAATTAATTAACATGACTCACATACTCTTTTCTTGCCTTATTTGCAACTTTCTTTATGATGCTTTTGAACTTCTGCTTCAGGGTTAATGCTGCTTGGCTTCATATCCGTCTTTCTAACAGCCACCTCAAGCACAATCGCCAATATTTGCATTCCTTCAAAGTTCTACGATAGTACTTTTGCTCCATGTGCCAGGTCTGAAATTGATCAACAACTTGAAGATGATGGTTCCAAGGGGCAAAAACTTTTGATGAGTCCTGTTTCTCACTCATTTAGGAGAATTTTGAATAGCATGAATTGAAATAACTGCAAAGAGGCAGGTGAATTATCCATAACTGACTCTACTATTCATTTTTTTTCTTCTTTTTGTATTTCTTGACAAAAATAATTTTTGTTATTGCATTTTCTTTTGAACTTTGTTTGCTATAGATTCATAACTAGACTCAACCTCGCATGATCTGAAAATTACTCTGTTCTGCAGGGTCATGAGCCTTTTGTTTCATATGAAGGTCTTGGGCAGTTGCACCACTTCATATTTGTCATGGCTATCACACATATATCCTACAGTTGCTTAACGATGTTGCTGGCAATTGTGAAGGTTTGACCTTGAAATTGTAATCATAGTAACTGTGACCGCGGAATGTTATGTAGATGGACTTATCCTAGTTTTGTTTTATAAGATTGCAATTAAGCTGTTTTTGTAAACATGCTTTCTCTCTGTGACTGAGGAATTATAACTGTTTCGCCAGATTCATAATTGGAGGGCATGGGAAGAAGAAGCTTATATGGACCGACACAATTCATTACACGGTAAGGCAAACCAGTATTTTTAATTTAAATTCATCTTATAAGTTACTTGGAAAAACTTGTAGGGTAAGGAATTCTATGTTTTAACTTCTTAGAGCTTACTGACACAATATATTACTACATCCTACTCAATAAGCTTTGTGCTACAGGGTACAACTTAAGGTTTTCAGATTCTTCATTTAAACAATTCATGCGTATAAATGCAATTTTTGACAGGAATTACACGAGAGCTGACAATGCGAAGGCAAACCACTTTTGTCAGATACCATACAAAAAATAGTAAAATAATTAAAGTTTGTCATCCTAATAACTGCTTTCACCGTCAGAACATGGTTACCTCACTAATTAAAATATTAAGATTATTAAAAGAATAAAATATTAATTTTATTTAATTAATTAATATAAATAATTAATAATTAACAAAATAATTAATATTTATTAATTTATAAATTAAAATTAACTCATAAATTAATATTTTTAAATACTATTTATAAAAAAATTAAAAAATTAATAGTTTGGCATTTTGTACAAAGGCAATAACCACAGCGGAGAGCAGTAGCGCACCATGTTCTAGATCTCTTTCTCTGGATCACTTCCTGGTTGAGAGAATATTCTAATAGCATTCTTATCTACTTTGTGATATGAGTTTGTGTGAAAACAAATATGCATTACCCTCTTATTTTTAAGAGGATAAGAATAAATTTGTTTTTTTAAAAAATAAGAATAAATTGTTTTTTTAAATTATTAATTATTATAAATTATTTATTATTTAATGTATAATATCATTATACGTCAAAAATTTTATTTGTCATTTAAGTATGTTTTTAATAAAAATTAACATGTGATGATATTATATACTAAATAATAAATAATTTATTTTAATTGATAATTCAGTGGAGGCAATATGTATTTATTTTTTTAAGAGCAAATTTATCCTACTTTCTTATTTAATAGACAAATTTAGGTGTTTAGCCAAACAAGAATTATACATTCATTGGTGTTTTTGGACCCTTAAACTATTATCTTTAGAAAAACAAAAATTAGGTATTTGTGATCCCCTATGTTCTCATTTTTTAAAACAAAAATTAGTAATTTCTTCGGTGATATACATGTGATTCGCACCCCCAAACTATCATGTTAAAGAAAAAAAAGAAAAAAAAAGGTATATGTGAACTCTTAAGGCTCTTATATTTGAAAACAAAATTGAGTGATTTCTTGAGTGGAAAACATGCACATGATTTATTTATTTATTTATTTTTGTGTTTCCTGAGGTTAAACATGCACATGATGCGGACTTTCTTTCTTTCTTTCTTTCTTTCTTTTTTAATGGTGCGATGAGGGCCCTTAAGATGTCATTTTCAAAAAAAACAAAGTAGGGTATATCGTAACCCTTACGCTCTCATTAAAAACAAAAAAAATGAGTGATTTACACAGGTAGAGTACGGGGCTGATTCGTCATTTCAGTCAGACAAAAAATTGCTGATTTTCTATAGAAAGTGGATACTGGTGCCGTGGACCTCTAAGCTCTCATCTTTAGCAAAGGCCAACCAGAAATTAGTGATATTTTCTCTGAAAAAGCATTTATAGACCTACTAACCCAATGAAAAAAAAAAAAAATTAAAAACTAGCTGTCAGGATCAAAATTTCATCTTGCAACCCAAAATTTGTTTACTTGTTTTGGAAAAACAAATATCTATGATCTCTCTTAAGAGTTATTGATTTAAAAAAGTAGAATTAATTTACACATAAATTTTATAAGTTATATTTATATAAAATTTAAATTATTTTTTAAATAATTAAGATTTATATATATTTCTTAAAATAATTATTAATTTTATTTAAAAATTATAATAAATTTTAATTATTAAAAATAAATAATAAATAATTTAAATTTTATATAAATATAATATGTAAAATTTATATATTAGTGAATTATTTTTCTTATATTTATATGAAAAATTTATTATATAATATAAATTACATACCAAAAATAATTAGATGAGAGGTGAAATACTAAAATTTTTTTCTCATCTAATTATTTTTATTTTATAATTTAATATAATTTAAATAATAAAATAAAATTTTATTTATATACTACCACTTAAATTAGAGTTTTATTTCAAATTTTGAGATATCACGTTTATTAGTCATCTTTAAAAATTTATAGATGGAGGGTTGACTTGACGTCAACACCGTAATTGTTTTATTCTTTTCTCGCCTTTCTTTAGTTAATTTTCATTTTGCTTTTGGAGTTGATATGTAAAATCATTCAAAAGGAGATCTGCATCTACTGCATATTTAATCTCAGAGCCAGATACAGGAAGCAATTAACAACAAATTTTTAGCTACAAACTCTGTGTATTTACTTCCATCTGCCTGTCTACCTTCTTCTTCTTTTCCATCTTTATTTGAGGGTTTAAATTTAATTTTTTATTTTTTATTTTTAAAAAGTTATTTAATATATTTATTTTTATTCTATCTTAATTTTAAAAAATAATTATAACATATATTAAATAAAAAATGTTATTTAAGTAGTACTTAAATTAAGAATAATATAAGAGTGATGAAAGATGAAAATCTAATATTAATAACGTGACATAAATCACATCATTAAATTAATTGATATATATAATATTATGGATTTAAAAAAATGAGGAGAGTTAATTATTAAATAATATAAGATTTATTTTTTAATATTTTAAATAACGTGACTTATGTTATGTTATTGATCCTAGATATTTGTCCCATTTATCATTATTTTAAATATAAAATTTTATCAATAAATTATTGTCTTTTTATTTTATCAGATAAAACAATGAAATTTACTAAAAATAGAGAGGATAGTAATAAAAAATGTGCAATTAACGTATTGTTAATGCGTATTAAGGAAATAAGATAGAAAAATTCTTTATTCTTTATAATCTTTGTTTCAAAATAACTAAAATTCTTTGATTTTGAATTTTCTTAAGTTAGTTTTTTTTTTAATTTTTTAAAATAGATAAATATTTTTTTCTAATTTAACCATATTATTACCCATTCACTTTAATTAATCATCCACTCATCAGAAGCCTTTATTTTTTTTTTATAGATAAATATAAATATTATTGTTAAATTCTTAATTTGAGAAATAAAGTCAAAATATGATAGTTATTTTTAATATAGAAGGAGTACTAGGTTTAACATAGAAATTAATATTTTATGAGTTTTTCTAGCATATACAATAGAATATGGTGCTTTAATTGCACAATTTACTTACAGTATTTTTTTAATTAAGTGTACCTAATTCTAATTTAAAGTATTTAAATTGTGTTATCTATTTTTCTTTTTTTTAAAAAAATATTATTTAATATGTTTATTTTTATTTTATTTTTAAAAAATAATAACATATATTAAATAAAAAGTACTATTTAAATAGTAATTAATTAGAAATAGATATGAAATTTTATTAATTAAATATCACATTCTAATTTTATTGTATAAACAACTAGGTTTACTAAAATTAAATAAAGGAAGCATTAATTGTTGTGAAAAAAATCAAAATTGATTGTAATTTTATCAACAACCAATTAAAATAGTACACATATCATTAGTATTAAAAATAAAATTAGATTAAAAAAAAGTATCATATTTTGACTATTCTCTTTAAAAAAAATTTTTAAAAACCAAAACGATTAAATAAAACGATTGCGGACCCGTAAGCTATTCTCTTTAAAAACCAAAACGATTGCGGGGCTGATTTGTCATTTCAATCAGACAAAAATTAGTGATTTTTCCATAACAAGTGGATTCCTGTGTAGTGGACCCGTACG